GGAATTATTGAGTCTGTCATCTGCACCTCTATAACTGTCTGGTTTGGTTCTGCAACCCAACAAGACAGACACAGCCTTCAGAGGATAATTAGAACTGCAGAAAAAACAATTACTACCAACCAGTGGTGAAATCCAATTTTTTTTTACTACCGGTTCTGTGGGCGTGGCTTGGTGGGCATGGTGTGGCTTCGTGGGTGTGGCTTGGTGGGCATGGCAGGGGAAGGATACTGCAAAATCTCCATTCCCACCCCACTCCAGGGGAAGGATATTGCAAAATCTCCATTTCCACCCTACTCTGGGGCCAGCCAGAGGTGGTATTTGCTGGTTCTCCAAATTACTCAAAATTTCCGCTATCAGTTCTCTGAACTGCTCAAAATTTCCACTACCGGTTCTCCAGAACCTGTCAGAACCTGCTGGATTTCACCTCTGCTACCAACCTGCCTTCCATTGAGGACCTGTATACTGCATGAGTCAAAAAAAGGGCTGTGAAAATATTTACAGACCCCTCGCATCATGGACATAAATTGTTTCAACTACTACCCTCAAAACGACTGCACACCAAGACAACTAAGTACAGGAACAGGCACAGGAACAGTTTTTTCCCAAAATGCCATCACTCTGCTAAACAAATAATTCCCTCAACACTGTCGAACTATTCACATTAGGCTGCATTACTATTACTATTAGTCTTCTCATCATTCCTGTCGCCCATCTCCTCCCGCTTGTGACTGCGTGACTGTAACTTTGTTGCTTGTATCTTTGCGATTTATATTTATTTGATTGTTTCCTGGTATGATTTGATTGCTTATTGTACTATATGACTGTCACTGGGTGTTGTCCCTCGTTATTCTTGACGAGTGTATCTTGTCTTTTTATATACACTGAGAGCATATGCACCAAAGACAAATTCCTTGTCACACAATCACACTTGGCCAATAAAGAATTCAATCTATCTATCTATCTATCTATCTATCTATCTATCTATCTATCTATCATCTATCTATCTATCTATCTATCTATCTATCTATCTATCTATCTATCTACCTACCTACCTACCTACCTACCTACCTACCTGCTTATCTATCTATCTATCTATCTATCTATCTATCTATCTATCTATCATCTAGTCAAACCATCTCCAGGCTATGATCCCTACTTTTCTTGCACAGAGAATCCCAGAGAAATCAACAGTTTTATTTATGTGAGATTCCTTTATCCTGGTAGGGAGTTATGATAGGACAAAGTCTGAGAAGCTTTGAATTAGGTGGCATAGATGTATGTCAGTGGTAATACTAAATATATAAGAAGCATTGCAATTTTCATCAGTTGATTTTCCAGCCTAGTACAACAATGTAGTATTTCTTTTGGATTATAACTTGTTCCACTGACTAGAATATTTAAGGCCATGATATCTATCCGTTGAGAAACAAAATAGCTCAATCAAACTTGAAGTCTATAATGGGGTGCACACATAATTTCACATGGGCTGTAGTATGTTACTCCCCACTGGCTCCCACAATTGAGTCTTTGAACTCACTATCCACAATACCAATATATCTCTCCACAACTCTGGGGAAGAATGAACTTAGTAATGTTGCCAATCAGCTATTTTATTCCAAAAATCTCTCTCTGCCCTGGTTTGCTTCAGAACAGACAAATGGGGATCTTTTTTTCCCTTCATTAGCTCCACCAGAAGGAAAATTTATATGTACTGAAAGCTAGTTCCTTATCATCAAGCCCTTATTATAGGTATCAAGAACTTGAGGGAAGCGGGCAAACACAAAAGAAGAAAGAAAACATAGGACAAAAATATTTACTTCTGAAAAGATTGATTTCAGCCAATTGAAATTCTTGCTACACACACACATGCACACACACACACCATAGCTGTGATCACTATCTGAAATAAGCAGCAGACAAGAGATCATCACATTCAACAAATGCCTTCAACATTTTAACATTTACCACAGAGTGAAAAGTTCAACTATTGTTCCATGCTGACTTTGATACATTTCAACAACAATTATTGATTAAGTATTCTTTCTCTGCCCCTCCCATGCTTGGGACACCTGTACTGATATGTTGCTAGGAGAAGAAAAAAAGCAACACCAGACATATCATTTAAACATGCATTAACCTGGAATGATACTGGGGGGGATAGATCTGAAAGCCTGCATGGAAGTTTAAGAGAAAACCACTTCCTGTAATCTGGAACTCATTCTATGTGGGACCTACACCATTTCTCTAGGAACTAGATGCCTACCTAGTATTTCATATGTTTACATAATAGAAATCTCACCAAAAAAAAAGTCTAGTTCTTTTTCCTACAACGACCCTCATTGATTCATCAAGTCCTTATTGTGCATATTGAGATCCAAAAATGACAGGTAAAAATAAATAAATAAGAAGGAGTGATAAAATCCACAAACAGTGGATTTCAGCCAGCTGCCCCCTCAGCCAACACACACACTGCAAACTGTTTATTTTTTTATTTTGTTATTTTGTTGAGTACATATTAGATAATATATATAAGTATAAGCATGAATTGAATACATAAAATGAATACAATTAAAGGGAACATTAGGACAGGGATGGTAGGCACACTGGTGCTCTTATGCATGCCCCTTACAGACCTCTTAGGAATGGGGTGAGGTCAACAGTAGACAATTGTGTCCTACAATCCAACCAATACTGAATTGTGCTCCACCAGTCCCCTAACCTGTTATATAACTGCCTGCACTCCAGCCTGGATAACTACAAGATAGGCTTCTTTTCTTACTTAGCTTTTAGCTGGCCATGATAGAGATATCTGACAGGAAATGACAAAATGAAAAGAAACTGGGGTTGCACCCTTCTTTTTTTTAAAGCTCATCTGGGAGGGAAACCTTCCTCTCTTGATCAGTTTGAAATATGAGTTTGATTTTTCAAGGCTTCCAAGGTCTCTATCCATTTACCTAGAGTGATAGGCCTGAATTTCATATAACCCTTACTGTGTCTGAACCTCTTATAATGGAATGTTTCCCCACTCATGACAGAGAGAACCAGGTTGATGCAGTATTTAAGGAGTTGGCCTAGGAACAGGGAGCTAATGCATTGGTTCTCAACCTGTGGTCCATGGCAGGGGTGAAATACTCATGGTTCGGACCGGTTCATCCGAACCGGTAGTGATGATGGCCGGTAGTTTGGAGAACCGGTAGTGATGGCAGCTCAAGGCTCCGCCCACCCACCCAGTTGTCGTTACTTCCTGGTTTTAACCAGGGAATAACCTGTTTTTTACCCTCTGCGCATACGCAGAAGGGTTTGCACATGTGCAGAGGGTTGGCACACGCACATGTACTTCCGAACCAGTAGGGAAGGTAAGTAGATTTCACCCCTGGTCCATGGACCCCTGAGGGGGCTGTGATGTCATCACAGGGGGTCCACAAAGGCTTGAATAAATGTTATGATTTATATCTTAAGTTAAAGTCTTGGGAGTCCATGGCCACAAAAGGTCCATTGTGAAGAAATGGGGGTCCATTGTGAAGAAAAGATTGAAAACCACTGAACTAGTGAAATCCAGTCCTGCTTTAGGCACAAAGCTAAAGGTGGCTGATTTGGGGCCAGTTATTCTCTCTCTCAGCCCTAGGAAGCAATCAATGATGAACTGAACAGAAGAGGGGAAAAGATAAAGAGCAGGCAGAGTGATACACAAAGACAAGGACAGAGAATAAATCTATAACTCTCTATCCTCAGCCCCCTGCCGGTTGTGATCAATATGCCACCAATTGTTGAAGGATCAGCCGCATTGGTTATATCTTCCACATTTCTCTCCACACCCACCTTAGAACAGCTTATGCATTGTTGAGGGAAGAAGTAAAAACATTTATTAGACAGAAAGCAGAACACATCACAAAATGTAGCAAAGCTTCCTTTCAAAGGTGATCACCATCTGATGAGAATTTGTCACTGACAGATAGATCTGGAAGACTGCAAAGGAGTTTTAAAAGTTTTAAAGAGAGGCAAAAGATATGGAGGAAAGCATTTCCAGGACTTGGTGGAAATCTGTCTTTCTGGAAGCCATATCTTCCTGATATGAAGATTCATTTCTCATAAGCATGCAAGAGAAATTTGGCTTCATAGCAGAATAAAAACATACAAATTGATAAAATAAATTCATATTGGCCAGGGTGTAATCCCATGCTATTAAGTAATTCAGGCTTATTATCTTATTCAAATATGAACATTGAAAGCCAAAATGTAAAATGTGAACATTCTGGAAATTCAGCAATTTAAAGATTATACAGGATATATGAAGATTACAAGTAGTCCTCGATTTACGACCACAATGTAGCCCAATTTTTTTGTTGCTAAGTGAAACATTTACAACCTTTTGTGCCATAGTTGTTAAGTGAATCACTGCAGTTGTTAAGTTAGTAACACAGTTGTTAAGTGAATCCGGCATCCCCATTGACTTTGCTTGTAAGAAGGTCACAAAAGGTGATCACGTGACCTCAGGACACTGCAACTGTCATAAATATGAGTCAGTTGCCAAGCATCCGAATTTTTATCACAGGACTGTGGGGATACTGCAACAGTCGTAAGTGTGAAAAATCATCATAAGTCACTTTTTCCAGTGCCGTTGTAACTTTGAACGGTGACTAAATAAACTGTTGTAAGTTGAGGACTACCTGTATTAACATAAGATTAAAGGTGTATGAAATAATCTTTAGAGTGGAATAATATCTATCATAGGAACAATACAGCATAAAAATGTAACCTTTCAGAATCACAGTAAGAATTCACTTTGCATTTCAGAATGAAAGACTGGAGTTTATAACCAACAGTTGGCTTTCTTAGAGAATCTTTGAAGGAATCTTTGAAGGAAAAAGATAGGGCTTCAATTTTCAATCTGGAACAACAAAAGTTATATAAAACATATAACCTTTTATCTGAATGCCTTGTTTACGGGTTTCACAGTTGATTTGCAGTTTCTTTTGTGGCAGCGTCGGTTTCATTACAGCTCATCTCTTCTGAAACCAACCTCTTAATGTTCTTTTCATTGCCTCATGCATTGTACTGTTCCTCAAGCTGTATATGAAAGGGTTGAGCATGGGAGTCACCACTGTGTATAATATTGATGCAATTTTCAATTTTGACCCAGCATAAGTGGACGATGGGCGGATATAGATGCCTAGCAGAGTCCCGTAAAACAAAGCAACGGTAGTGAGATGGGAGATGCAGGTGGAGAAGGCCTTGTATTTCCTGAGGCCTGACGGTATTTTCAAAACTTTGAATACAATGAAAAGGTAGGAAAATATGATCAGCAAAAGGGGTCCGAGAAGAATGGCCGTGCCTTCGCTGACAAGCAGCATTTCAACAGATGAGGTGTCAGAGCAGGAGAGCTTCAGTAAAGGATGGAGGTCACAGAAGAAATGGGGAATCTCTCGGGAAGCACAAAACTTAAAATTAGACATGGAAAGAACGTACAGTAGGGAGTGGGCACAAGCTAGGAGCCAAGATACAGCAGCCAGTTGTATGCAGAATCTGTAGCTCATGATTGTCGCATAATGCAGTGGACGGCAAATGGCTACGTAGCAGTCGTATGCCATGGAGGCCAGGAGAAAGTTATCCGCTGCACAGAAGCTCACAAAGAAATACACCTGTGTCAGGCAGCCACTAAAGGATATGGAGTTTGTGCAGGACAGCAGGTTCTGCAGCATTTGGGGTACGATGGTGGAGCTCAATCCAAGATCAGCCAGTGACAAGTGACAGAGGAAGAAATACATGGGAGCATGGAGGAGGCTGGCACTGGAGAAGATCAGCAAGATTATCACAAGGTTTCCCAGCAGACAAAGCAGGTACATACAGAGGAAAACAGGAAAAAGCAGTCCTTGAAACTCTGGAGAGGAAGAAAAACCCAGGAGGATGAATCCAACAAAGTTGGTTTGGTTCTCCCGATTCTTTTCCATAAATCAGCTGAAAATATGGATTTTTGCATATATATTTTTTTACCTATCTGGTTTGTATTTCACCTAGACATGAAGGAAAAGAAGTACAGCACTTGAGGACATGGGAAAAATTATTAGTCTTTGAGCCGACTGAAATATTTTGATTTGTATTCCAAAAATGGGGCATGTGGGGCACATTTATTTCAGTATATGTCTGGCAGGGGTAAAGGCATACATAAATTTCTTTGAATTCAGTTTACAGAACATAAACTTGTAATAAAGAAGATTGATATTGGACATTTAGTATTCAATTGTGATTGCTCTTAGACTCGCTGAATATAGGATGGTGCTATGATACTTTATTTATGGCTTAGGCATGTATTGTTGTGAGTCAGGTATCTAACTAATAGATGCCATTTAATTATTTAGGACAGTTAAAACAAAAAAAAAAATTCATGTGGTTTCTCCAGTCTGGAGGAATGACATTTCAAATTGGGGGTGATATTTAAACTAATCCATTCTAAAGTGATGCATACTCACTTTAGAAAAAAAAACCCTCCTAGTTTCTTTATTCGCCCTTGAGATCTGGTTTAGAAATACCGGTAGTTGAAATGAATATTGAGTGGCTTTTCTGAATCAGGACGTGTCTGGCTAAAGAAGCTGACCAACTTAGAGTGTGCTTTTATAAATATCCATTCAAAAATCTAATTGCAATGATATAGGGTATTACAAATGAAATTATTTCTTTTTTTTTTTATTTCGTCAAGCATGTATTTCATGACAGATACAAGTGTAAATACATGAAAAGGATACAAATAAAAGAAAACATTAGGACAGGGACAATAGGCACGCTGGTGCGCTTATGCACGCCCCTTACAGACCTCTTAGGAATGGGGTGAGGTTTTCTTTCGTTGTTCTTTGCCTGTAAGTTAGTCCCTTCTTCCTCTGAAGTGATAAATGCTCAGGCTGAAATGGCCCATTTAGTAGCATTGAAGCTATAGCAAGCTGTCTTCTACTTCTACCACAGATCACTCATCTGTTTCATTCATCCTTGTGTGTCCTAACTGGCAGCCGCATTGTGGCTCTTTGCTGATGACCATGGATTGTTTTTGGGAAATTCTGTATGCAAAGCAGTTTTTTTTTCTTTTTTTCAATTTGATTTATATGCCGCCCTTCTCCGGAGACCCAGGGCGGCTCACAATGCACTAAGCAATAGCCTTCATCCCTTTGTATATTTATACAAAGTCAGCTTATTGCCCCCACAAACTGGGTCCTCATTTCACCTACCTTAGAAAGGATGGAAGGCTGAGTCAACCTTGAGCCTGGCGAGATTCGAACCTGCAGTAATTGCAGGCAGCTGGTCTTAATAACAGGGTGCTTTAGACCACTGTACCACCAAGGCTCGACACCTTTCTCCAGATTCTGTGATTATTTCCTGTGCTATTTAATTACTGTAGGACAAACCAAATTCCATCCACAACAGTCCTTTTCAACCTCCTTTTCTGGGCTGCTTTCTCACCCACACCTTTGTATACCATTCCTATCTCTATCTTCCAGTTTGCAAAAAAAGGATGAGGATCAATTGAGCAAGAATGGCAGACAGAGGAACCACAAGACACAACTGTCCTTTGTTGCATCTTTACAATACAATGTATTGAGAACCCTTTGTATATAAAGTCATCTCTAAGAGTTAGTGTGCTTTGTAAATGATCATACAGAGGCCTTCTACTGAGGCAGAGCTTTCCTCCATTGCCCCCAATCCTCAATGCCCTGATTGATCATGGATGGGCTCCTTCTGACAAGCGTTCTTCCCAGCCCTAATCTGAAGACGGAAGACGAGTTCTCTTGTGACATGCAGCCTCTGCTTCTTCTGCCTGGCTGAGGATCTCTTACTTAGCTGAGGAGTCTAAACAAAAGAACTTAACCCTTCCATTACAATATCTTCTCATTGCTGCATCACCTTATCTCATGGCCTCTATATGTACCACAACTTTGCAAAAGTGCAGTTTGCATGGAGGTAATTGGAAGGGGAAGAGAGAAAGCTGAATAAGGAATTATATCTTTCTTCTATGTTTCACTCCAATACAGTATGCTGGGTAGCAATAGTGTCAAAGGATGAAGTGCAATTCTATACATTTTTGATGTAGAGCTAGAAAGAGAAAACTGTTGAATAAAAAGCTTACTGGCTTGTGTCCATAAAAAAAACCCCACTGAATATTATACTGTACCTCTGGCAAAAAGTTTTGATGTCTCGACTGAGGTCCAGTTTCTTTTTTGGGTGAAGAGATTCTTTATAACTTTTTCAGTTCTGAACAAGGTCTCAGGCTTCATGGGGCAGCATTTTCTTTCTCAGAGCAGATGTGCATAGATAATGGTAGGAACTAGCATGCCTGTGGTGAGGAGGCAGGGATAATTTCTAGCTTGTGGCACCCCAAGGAAGAGACATTGATGCAAAAACAAGGCTCTTTGGGGAACTTGTTAACCAAAGTGAGAACATTCAACAGTGATAACAAGTGATGTAAGATTGGGTTGGAAAGTTGATGTCAAGAACAGATTTCTGAGAAAAAAATGTAGCCAATTTGGCCAAAAAAGAAACATAAAAATTATTTGTATTAGGAAGACCTCCAAAAATCTACTTCATAGAGGCATCTGAGACTGGTTCAAGTGCATTGTATTATTAAGATCTGTTTATCACTCCTGTATTGAAGATATTGTCAGGATCAAGATTCATTTCCCCTACCCCTATGGTCCTCATGAACATCTTTTCATGTGTAAGCTCTTTAGAGCTCAGCTTTCCATATATTAAATGGGCAAATGCAATCACATACAAGCCTGTGACTTCAGTTCATTCTTTTCCTGGCCATTGCTATGCCACTGTTATGCTTCCCAAGAAAAAAGAGGGGGGGGAATCAAAGTAAATATTTTATTGCATTAAACCTATTAAACAGATTTCATCACTGTTTACGTTTTAATCCTAGTTTCTTCTGATTTTCTATTGCTTTTCTGTTGCTTAGAATCATGACCGTAGATTCTTCGTTGCAGAGGAAAGAAGGGAAGGGAAGGGGGGAAGGAGAAGAGGGGAAGAGAGGGAAGAGAGAGGGGAGGGGAGGGGAGGGGAGAGGAGAGGAGAGGAAAGGAAAGGAAAGGAAAGGAAAGGAAAGGAAAGGAAAGGAAAGGATTTTTGGTCCAGTTTTTCCAATACATGCTTTTGCTTTATGTTTAAGCAAAAAATATCCCACAGCAATTGCATGACTAGCAAACAAGCAGTCTTTTTTCCTGGAAAAAAATGTTTATTCAGGCACTTAAAGCATATATATAAAAAGTGATCCAAGGCAAGTTCAACCTGTGAGTTGCTTTTCCAGGTATAACTTTTTTGTGATTGATCAATTTTCTACTATGAATGTTAGGCAATGCAGACAGAGTATAATTTAATAAATTAGTGGGGGGGGGGACAATTCTAAACTTTATTCCCCTCCCTTTGTTTTGCTATTTTCAGGCTAAACCAGGATCTGGTTTAGGTGAATGGAATTCAAGTTCCACAGAGTTTTCTTTAGCAAGATTTATTGAGATGAATGGGATACAGTTACAAGAATTCCAGCAACTGAAAAGTTTCCTGTTTATAATCAACATATTACCATATATATTTAGGATAGAGACTTTCTGATTTTCTCTCTAATAGCTTTTCTATAATTCAACATGTTTCTTCACTGATAACAGGAAACATAATAATCATCTGGTTAGGAACCAGTTCTTACAAACTGGTGAAGCCCTACAATAGGAAACCCAATCAAATCCTTTCAGCATACTTACTTTCAGAGTATTGTTTTAAGTAAGAAGTGATTGGTCATGATAAACTTAATGTTTTGGTAATGCCATTATTAGAAAAATAAATGATACAGCACACAGTCAATTTTAATAAAAAGGCAACAGAAAAGTTTGCCAATTAAAAAGAACGCCAGAAAAAATTGCTACAGAAATGAAGATTAATCTACTGTGAATTTAGAAGCAGCTGTAAAAGAAAATCAGAGGCTGCTGCATAGTCATAAATTTCAAAGAATGACTGAAGAAAAATAAAATTATAACTTAGGGGAGATAATATCTCTCTCCTGGGGAATATGGCTCTTGCAACTCTGCTAAGTAGAATTTGATAAGTAGGAATTTATCAAATTATATTCCATCAAATTTGTATTACATTGTACCATTACTATGGAAAATTGGAGTATGTAAAAAATACTGAAGAGAAAACTTTTCAATCACTGTGTGCTACCTGCTCTAACATATGCCAGTGAAACATGGACACTAACTTCACAATCGATACAAAAGCTATGAGTGGCGCAGAGCCAAGGAAAGATACATGTTCGGCATTACAAGACAAGATAGAAAGACCTGCACATGGATTAGAGAACAAACGAAAGTATATGATATCATCAAGAGAGTAAAAGAATTGAAATGGAAATGAGCTGGTCACAAACCAAGAATAACTGATGACAGGTGGACCAAGGCAGTCATAGAATGGATCCCACTTGATAAAAAGCATCCACGAAAGAGACCTAAAACAAGATGGATCAATGACATCAACAAGTATTGCGGGCCCAATTGACAAAAGAAAGCTCAGGACCGTATTGCTTGGAAACATGCGGAAGAAGTCTTCATCCTGCAGTGGACAAACAATGGCTAAAATGATGAAAGAATACTGGATATATAAAGAAATTAAACAATATGTTACTGTCTCTTCTAATCATGATAGACATGGAAAAATATATACTCATTCTAAAACAAACAGTCCAGTTACTTTATTTTAAAGGTAATTTGTTTCATTTTAATATGTTATCAGGAACATAACAGATACCTTTGCAGACCCAATTAAAATTAGAATTGGATCTAAATGTGGAACTATCCAGGGTCCTGAAAATCTGATCTATTAGACATCCCTCTCAAGCCTTTTATAACTTCTTAGATTTTTTTTTATTTTTTTTTATTTTTTTGGCCAAGTGTGATTGGACACATAAGGAATTTGTCTTGGTACATATGCTCTCAGGAGAGTCAATGTCCTGTGACTCTGGACACACAGAAACAACAAAGCTGTGCTTCTCCAGTGCCTGTATTAGAGGGGCATTCATACTAGCCTTGTAGGTACATAAATACCCAGGTTGAACAGCACAATTCTATCCCTGCTACTGCTTTTAGATACTAACCCTGCTACAACATATAATGTCACCATGTTCTGCACAGCAGTGCAGATGATGACTTGTCTTGTATATATACCAATACACATACATATAACTACATATATATATTTTTTTTATTGAAAAAGTTTTCAAATACAATTTTTCCCCCTTTTTTTCCCCCTCTCTCTCCCCCTCCCTAACCCCCCCTCCCCACCCATCCCCCCCTGTGACTTCTTCATAACAAAAAAAAACCTAATTCCTAACAGATTACTTACTCCCTCCTCTAGATATTGACCTTTACTTACTAAAAATATTATTAATATTATAACATCCCCCTTTATCCATACATATCAAAAAAGAGAAAAGAAAGGGGGAAAAAAAGACATTATACTATGACATTATAGAATAACTTCTCCACTTTAAAACTATACGATAAGTCCTACTTTAACATTTAATCTTCTATATATATTACTATAACATTTCAAAGCGGCCTTCCCCATAAAATCTAATTTAACATTTATTCCACTCTATCCATTTCCTCCACTCCCCTAAATATAACACTTAAAAATCCCTTTTCTTAGACTAATCAATCTACTAACTAGCTTATTCACCCACTATCATGCAAAATTGCCATACACAACATTTCTTAACATCTTTGATTCACTGCCCACACTACTTAAAAATATATGTCTATATTTTCCATTAAATCTAAATTAAAAAAAAGAAAAGACAATGACTTTAAATTTATAAACCATATAGTATCTTCTTTGAGGTCTTTCCACTGGATTGGTAGAACCGACATCCATAATCGGGTAACATAGCTTACTGGTGCAACAGTTTATTCAGGATCTTCAATCATATCTGCCCCCATCAGTAGTAAATATCTTCTTATATGTATAAAAGTAAAAACAACCACCCGAGTGACATTATAATTATATTCCATATAGTAATAATTGTGGGTTTCATCAGGATTATTAATTCCCATCATCGTAGTGGGTAACAACCCGATCTTCTGCATGCCCCAGCATAATTCTCTTGCCTTGTGATTCAAGATAATATAATATGTTTATCAACACAAAAAGAAATTCCAAAATGGATAATTCAAATCCATCAGTTTAAGGCTCATTTCACGTCCCCAGATTACGGCCATGCAGAGATCTGCCACAAACCTCAGGATGATATTAACCAATATGTCGCCTCTTCTGTGTTTGCACATTATCGTTCATATTTTAAAATCACTGGCTTCACTGTTGCTTGATTTAAAAATTTCTATTTCTATGCCACCTATTTCTTTTTTTCTTTTCTTTTTGTGGGTTCGGTTTCCATCCTGGTTCCCTTTCTACAAAATATGTATCATCTGGTCGGTTTTTATTCTGCTTTGTAGATTGGTCTTGTTGGTTTTGCTTTTGTATCTCATATTTCTTTTTTATCCCTTGTATATCCCCTAATTGGTTTCCATGTTTATCCTTGCCTTGATAAGTCATTACATTAAGATTAGATGCCTCTTCTCTCAAATTTGTAGATAGTCCAGCTGGGGTATCCAATAAATCCAAAGGCAATTCATCTGGTACAGTCTCTGTAATTCGATATTTTACCTTTATTTCCGGCTCCTTCTGCTTATCCTGTATTATACCTGGAGATGTTAAGTTCATTTTCAACCTATTTTGATAAAATTCTTCCGCTCTTTCAACAGTATTTAGCTGATATCTTTCTCCTTGGTATCTAAATATAATACCAACTGGGGCGTCCCACCTGTAGGAGATATTTCTCTCATTCACCAGAAAACCAAATTTCTTCCTTTCCATCAATATCTTCGGTGGGAGTTCCTTGTAAATCCAAATCTTTCTTCCATACAATTGCAAATTAGAATTGAAAGAATTTTGAACGATATTATTTCTAATTTCCTTATCTGTAAAATAAATCACCACATCTCTAGGCAATTGCCTTTGCTTAGCAATCCAGGAGTTGATTCGATAAGCTCTGTCAATCCTACAAAACACTTCATCAGGTTGAACCTTTAGAATCCCAGCTAGAAATTCAGAAGATATTTTCCTTAAATCATCTCTATTATTTTCCTGCAAACCTCTTAATCTTATCGCATATTCTGTAAAATTATATTGTACCATTAAAATCTCTTTTTCAATCTTCTGTTGCAGATTTTCTGCATTACCACACTTTTGATCAGCATTCATTTTAGGTTTTTCTTCTAAGCTATTATCCTGAATGTTTATCAAGTCATTTTCAATTTTTTGGATTCTATTGTCCAATTTATCTTGAGTTCCTTCCATTTTAGACTCTAGTACATTAGTATTTGTGTCCAACCGCATCATAAATTCTGTAAAACCATTAGCCATTTTTGAGAATTTTTTCTCCAAAAAATCAAACTTAGATTTCACCAATTCTTTAATTTCCTGCTTAAATTTTTCAAATTGCTGATTCACAATCTCCTCCCTTCTTTCAATCTCTTCTATAAAAAATTCTATTATATTAAAATCAGGTTTCTCAGACTGAAGAGTTAAGACTTGTTCCTTTAAGTTGCTGGTGGGGGAATCCCCCCCCCTTCTTGTTTATCTGACTTTATGAGTCTCAGTGCCATGTTTCTGCCCAGGCAGACTTTGTTTAAAAAAAAGCAAGAAAGACTTCTTTCCAATCAACAACAATATCAGGTCTCCAAGGGAGAAAAAAAGAGAAAAAAAAACACAGGAGCAAAGTTTTGTCTACAAATGTAGCCAGTGGTATTTATTCCGCTACATTATAGTAATAAAAAACGGAAGGACTTTCCCTTTCAGCCTCTCCTCCAGCCGACGCCATTTTAAAAGGCTTTTTTTTTTCCTCTTTCTTTTCCTCCTCTCTCTTAAGTAATTTCTTTTAAAAATTCAGTAAAATACTTGCGGTTCAGTATTACAGGTCCAGCTCACATTTTCTTTGAGTAGTCTGTTAAATTTACAGGCTTGCTTTTGACGCCTGGCTCTGCATCAGCAGAGGTCTCCCAAAGCCCGGAGCAGCGGCTGGGGATACGGGGCATCTCATCCGCTCCGTCCCAAAAGTAAAGGAAAAACTTTTGGGACTCCGCAGAGAGTTCTACCCACCCCTGCCGGCTCTATCTCCGTTTCCTCATGGAAACGGAGTTTTTTCGAGCCGCCATTCCGTTGTGAAGGCAGCTCTGACAGGCGATGGAAGCTGACGATCCCAAAGGAACGTCTGGCAGCGACAAGCAGCAAACCGGAAGACGACTACATATATATATTAATGACTGTCCATCTTGAATATATATTGGAAAGAGGAAGCTTCAGAGTTCACAAGGTTGATACTATGTATATGGAACAAGACTGTGGCTGAATCTAGACGATCTGCTTCTGATACCATGAAGCCTCCTCCCAGAAGGTAACAAGGAAAATAGGTCATGAAGAGGATATGTAGTGTCCCAGACAATCCTGCGGACCCTGGTCAAGCATTGCTTATATGCTATGTTCTGGATAGGAAGGAAGTGAACTGCCAATAGTCTTCTCTCCCATCCTCACCACTCTGCACCGCCTTCCTGACTGAAGCAGTAATGCTTCCAAACCAGACTGTAATGCAATTTGACAGGATGCTTTTGATCGTCCCTTTATAGAAAGTGGTAAGGGCAGGGGGAAGGAAGGTGTACTTTTCTCATGCGACACAAAAATGCAGGCGCTGCTCTACCCACTTCACCAGTGTCTCACTGTTGAGCGACCAAGCCAGCCTTCTCGTTAGCTGCACACCCAGAAACTTGAATGAACATCTAGTTTGGAAATTCTAGAGCAGCGATCACCAACTGGTGGTCCATGGACCACTGATGGTCCGCAAGAAAATTTTGGTGGGCCACAGAAAAATTATTTCCATTTTTTTTATATTGCACTAAATCAGGGGTCCTCAAACTATGGCCCCTGGGCCAGATACATGCAATGGAATGTTTGTGTTGCTACAGAGAATCTCCCCCTTCGGGGTCTTTTTGTGTGGGTTGGAGGGGGCAGAAATTTCAATTTGGGTCTGCTTCAGCCTGCTGGTGCAGGGATTTGGATGAAGGCTGGAGGGAAGTGGTGGCAAGGAGCCGGAGGGCCTTGTTCCAGTGACACTGCATCATAGCTGGAACTGGCTGACCACCTCAGCCCACTGACCCTCCAGGTACCTGGCCTTGCACTCCTGCAGGTCTTCCCTCTGCTTGGAAAATCTATGCTCATAGTCCTGAGTGAGGTACTTCTGCTGGATCTGATCCTTCTCGGTCAGATCCAATTTGAACCAAGCCAGTTGTTTTGCCAACTCTTTTTCTTGGTGGCTGCTTAGCTCCAACAACTGCTTCCTGTTGGGGCCCTAAGGAGGCAGGGAGGGCAGGTGAGGAGTGACTGGCAGGAGAGGGGTGAGTAGAGGCCGGCGAGGTGCCCCTCGATGTGAGTGACATCGAGTTGGCCATCGAGTTGGCCACACCCACCCAGTCACATGACCACCTAGCCATGCCCACCCAGCCAGTCATTAGGCAGATCATATTAGTGATCTGTGGGATTTAAAATTATGAATTTAGTGGTTCCTAAGGTCCAAAAGGTTGGGGACCCCTGTTCTAGAGGGCTCTGCGCTGGAATAGATTTAGTCTGTCTCATGCTAAACTTTATGCTCCATTATCCCCATTTAATGCTCCTCTTTTTAGATACATTTTAGGGTTTTGTTTTATATATATATATATATGTTTCTATTTTATATTTTTAACTCTTTATAATTATTAACTTTTAGATTCCAATGTATTTTCTATACTTTTTAGTGGTCTGTATCCCGTCTTTCTTGTATTGGTCTCTGAACATAATAAAGATTTTATTTGCAATAAGCAATAATAAACTGCTTGTGCAGAAACAAATATCATAGGATACGGATCAAAAAAGGAAAACAGAGTGGAGTTGGTTAGATTTTATGGATACCTTCATTCCTTTATTGATTATGACAGAAACAATAAGACCAACTGATGGTACAGTTACTGATTTGCATTATATTTTATTTGTATTTGTATTGAAACATTTAGTTTCAACCATAGGTTTTAACAAAATAGGAATGATATAATTTACTGCTTCTGCTGTTTTTGGAATAACTATACTGATATATTATAGAGCTAAAGAAAGGTAATATATTTGTTTCCTTGACTTACATGTTTCATACAAGAACTCAAGACAATATGGATAATGCTCTACCCTGTGAGGTAGGTTAGACTGAAAGAGAACTTCTGGCCCAAAAATACAAGTTAACAAAAGACAGATAGTTTTAAATTCAGAGGCTTAATTCCCAATATATGGCAAGCAAATCAAAGATAGCTTTTAAAAATTTCTGTGATTTCACCAGCAAATATTTGGCACTGGGAGATGGTTCTGATTGACAGCAAGAAAATCAGTGCTGTGATTCAAGAAGACAGAAATCTGGCTGAAGAGGAGTTGACAATTCACTGTTATAGATTTCAGACTCTTGTAATCTAGTACTGAAGCTGGTTACCTAGTATTTCACATGGATGTATAACAGGCATGGTAAAAAAAAGAAAGAAACTTATTTAAGGGCAGGATAAAAGCAAACAAAATTAATCAACAAAGTCAAGCCAACTTGGTAAACTTGTAGAAATATCAACTGAAGAATAGTTAATTATTCATAATGTCTAATTTCCCCTGTAATAAGAATAGACATTTCCAGCAATTTTTTGTAAGGAGAAAATAATGGAAATTTAGGGATTTAGTGTAGTGGTTGAAGCACCAGACTCGAAACCAGGCATCAAATCCTGCCTTAGACCCAAAGGCAGCTGGGTGACATTGAGCTGGTCACTCTCTGTAGGAGAAAAGCAATAGGAAAACACAAAAATGCAGCCAAGAAATCTATGCTAGCCAATAATCAATTGAACACCCACAGAGACACACAAACCTACACAGTACTTTAAGTACCCTGAGATCTCTAGCTTTTACATATCAAAAGAATCAGCTCCTTAAAAGCAACAATAAACATCCATTACTTCAAACGCTTCAGCCAAAATATTCCCAGTTGAATAAATAATCTTTATTTTTGAGCAACACCTCTGATAGCCTGCACAAAACTACCAATGTGAAAAGTCATTACAGAAGTTATTTCAGACAATAAGCTGTGCAAAAGCAAAGTATTTTCTGACAGCTGAATTTTATTTCATGGAGCAGAGTGCCTTATAATGTTACTGACAGATCTGCAGACACCTTTTTATGTTGAGAAATAGCTAATATAAAAAGTAAGCTTGGTTGCACTTTGCGATTCTTTTACAGACAAAGACTAACAGAAAAACTGGTATGCTCTAAATGCTAGAGAAGAGAATAACAGAGTTGGAAGGGACGTTGGATGTTTCCTAGTCCAACTCCCTGCTTCGGCAGGAAACCCTACACCACTTCAGACAAATGGTTATCCAATCTCTTCTTAAAAACTTCCAGTGCTGGAGCATTTACAACTTCTGGAGGCAAGTTGTTCCACTGATTAATTGTTGTAACTGAACATTGGCCATTAATAGCCATGCTTATTTGTACCCGTGGCTGAGGGTGCTGGCTCCACTAAAACCAATTCCTTACCAGTCTCTTGATGGCTGCATGCATCTCGCTGTTCCTCAGGCTGTATATGAAAGGATTGAGCATAGGGGTGACTACTGTATAGAATATTGATGCCACTCTCAGCCTCGAGACAGAATAGGAAGATGATGGGCGGAGGTAGGTGCCTATCACCGTGCCATAGAACAAAGCCACGGTGGTGAGGTGGGCACTGCAAGTAGAGAAAGCTTTGTACTTTTTGGACTTAGATGGAAGCTTCACCACCTTCAGGACAATGAAGACGTAAGAGAAAAGAATGAGAAGCAGAGGCCCAAGGGCAAGTGCTGTCCCTTCGCTGACAAGAAGCTTATCAACAATGGAGGTGTCGGAACAAGAGATTTTCAATAAAGGGTGGAGGTCACAGAAAAAATGGGGGATTTCTCGGGAAGCACAGAAGGTAAAATTAGAGAACAACAGGGTGTATAACAAGGCATGGGAATGAGCTAGTAGCCAGCAGCCAGCAGCCAACAGAAGGCAGCACTTGAAGCTCATAATCCTGGCATAGTGCAAGGCGTGGCAGATGGCTACATAGCGGTCATACGCCATGGAGGCCAGGAGAAAGTTATCTGTGGCACCAAAACTCAGAAAGAAATACATCTGTGTCAGGCAACCATTATGAGATATTGTTTTTGTCTCGATCGCTAAGTTGTATAGCAATTTAGGCACTGCAGCAGAACTAAATCCAAGGTCAGCCAGTGACAAGTGACAGAGGAAGAAATACATGGGAGCTTGGAGGAGATTGGTACTGGAAAAGATCAGCAGGATTATCAAGAGGTTTCCTAGCAGACAAAGCAGGTACATACAGAGGAAGATGGGAAAGAGAAAACCTTGGTGGTCTGGTGAGGAGGAGAAACCCAGGAGGATGAATCCAGCAAATATGGTTTGATTCTTCTCTTCTGTGTTCATCCTGCAACTCAGGCATTTAGGACCAAGTCCTTGTCTATTTCTCTGCTCTGTATTTCAGATGGATCCAAAAGTACTAAATTAGTTTGAGAGAAAGAAAAAAAAATATTTACAGCTGTTAAATATATTCATAGGAATTTCTCTTTTTAAAGACATACAGTTTATTTTAATTTGCATTCCAACAACTGAAAAAGCCTCAAAATTTGGTCAAAATCTCTACATGATTCTCTCCTCTTTCACTTTTTCCAAGCAACTGAGAATCTTTTTGATATGTTAGGAGTAGTTTTGTTGTTTTCAGATAGATGGGGGAATGTACAATGACAAATTATTTATGAGTGTTAAAATAGGGGAATGGACCGTAAAAGAAAAATTTCTGGTAATTGGACTGATCAGCTAAAAAAAATCACAAAAGGGTACTAGAATTCCTTTGCCAATCACCCAGTTCCTTCTTCCTTTGAAGTGGTAACTACTTCAGCTGAAATGGCTTAATTTAGGGAATAAAGCAGACTGCCTTCTGTGCAGAACATTTATCCATCTCCCCATTACTGTTTACACTGACAGGTAGGACTCAAACCCATATTTTTCAGGCACACTTTTTTTTGCCCATGTTAAAGTTCAAGGGCTGCTTTTGTGACATATTATGTGCAAAGCAGGGATGGGTTCTACTTACCTTTACTACCGGTTCGCAACGGGAGCACACGTGCGCAGAAGCTTCAAAGTCTCATTCTCCAGGCTTCTTTTTCACCAGTACCTCCATTATACCACCCCGTATGTATCTCCCCATTTGCAAAAAGGAAGTTTGCATGGGGATAATAGAACCACAACAATGTCAGAGAGAAGAACTATGCAACTGCATTGTTCTACGGTTCATTCAGATACAATGTGCTGAGAATGCACTGAGTTCAAAGAATGTGGTAGCAAGATGTGTACAGTTATATATTGTTAAATATACAGACACAAAGGAAAATGGGGGGGGGGAATAAAGCTGAATAAAGCACTAAGAAGTTCATATCCTTTGCCCATGATATATAATGGATACTCTACCATATCGCTACTGGAACTGGACGTCTTGATGTTTTCATTAAAAATGGATCTCTTTCATTATGCCACCGTTTACCTAAGAACAAAGTCTTTGCAGCGTAACCTTTTCCTTCCTGAAGCAGAGGTGCCTTGGCAATGGCATAAATAGGACCTTTACTGTAATGAGATAAAGATATTTCATCTTCATTGGGCTCCCCTAGGAAAGAAAGAACCCGTTATGAAGACACTCTTCAGGGAACTTGTTAATCCAAAATAGAATATTCAACAGGAATACTGAGCAATCTAAAACTGGCTACGTGTGGATACCATGTATAACTGTTTTTTAACCAAATAATACTTTATTGGAATAAACAGTATTTCGCACAATGTGTTGGAGCTCCAGAATTCTACTTCCCACTGGCAAATGTCACTGGTTGTAGTGTGCAGTCTTATGTTAGGAAACCCGTATTACAGTAAAATTATGAACCAGAGTAGGCCTTGCTTTTTCTCATTTGATAGGCATGGGTTATCAATATCTATGGCTATATTACAAAAGGTCTTATGACCTCCTTATGACTCAATTCACCTTGAAGGCCATTCTCAGGTTGTAACTCAACAGGATTTGCTTCCACTTGTCTGTTGATCTCTGTTTTATTTCTATTGCATTTTCTGTGTAGAATGATGTTTTATCAGGGAACAAGGAGAGTAAGGTGGAAACTATTCCTGGGGATTCTGATGTTCCCTTCCATGTCCAAATTGCATGTTGAAATAGGGGAAAAAAACCATCAAATAATTTCTCAAATCTGTAAAATTATTACAATTTTGAGGGGGGGAGGATTTGGGGGACACCATCTCTCTTAACTACACAGAAACGTGTTGTAAAATCAATCCTGGTGTGAATTCTGGACTCACGACACCTGCTCAAAGAGCAGGTGGCAGTCGTTGTTAAGAGAGCCTTTGTGCAACTTAGGGTTGTGCACCAGTTACAGCCTTTTCTGGATCAAGAATATCTGCACCCAGTCGTTCACGCCCCATCATCTCATGATTGGACTATTGTAATGTGCTTTACATGGGGCTACCCTTGAAGAGCATTCAGAAGCTACAGCTGGTGCAGAGTATGGCAGGGTGAGCAGTTATTGGGGCCCAAAGGATGTCCCATTTAACACCACCACACCCGTGAGCTGCTTTGGCTGCCAGTTTGTTTCTGGGTGCAGTTCAAGGTATTAGTCATCACCTTTAAAGTCCTTCATGGCATAGGTCCGTTACTTTTTTCTTTTTTTTTCCCAAAAGATGTATATTTTTATTTCTCATAAACATATTTAAATGTACAATCTTTTATTCATCATTTTCCATTCATCTTATCTTTTAACTTTCATTTTTAGTTGTTCAAGGCTGCTCTTTTACCATTTACCCTCCTTTATTTTACCACTTTTCCTCTCCTCCTCCCCTTCCTTCCTCCATCTCTTCCTTCTTGCTTTGTTCTTCCTCTCCTTCTCTTTCCTACTTTCCCTTCCCTTCCCCTACTCCTCTCTTCTTCCTCCCTTTCTGACCCTCTCTCCTACTCCTCTTTCCCCTCCCTTTTCTCCCTCTCCTTTTCCCTCTCTCCTATCTCTCCCTCTCCTTTCCTCTCTTCTACCTTCCTCTTTCTCTACTCCTTCCCCTCTCTCTTGTTGTTTCCCTTTTCAATTCAATCTAGAATGGTATTCGAGCAGCCTCAATTTTCTATTTGCATCCATCTTCATTTCAATTTCTTATTTGTTTAGTAATTACATCTATTTCATCCTTTGTGTACACTTTTTATAATAATCTCACTTTTTGGCATAGGTCCGGTTATTTGAGGGACCATTAGGATTGGCCCACCCTACTTGTTCCAGCAGGGGAGGCATGCTATGAGCCCCATTGTCCCAAGTATTCCAGCTGGCGGGGTCCAGGAGAAGAGCCTTCTCAATCATTGCCCCTGTCCTCTGGAACATTTTGCTCCCTGGGGAAAAATCGACTCCAACCCTCCCAACCTTCCATAAGAGCCTAAAGATCTGGCTCTGACAGTTTGCTCAGGGCTCCAATGGGGGAGCATCACAGTGGAGGTGTTTGGTAGATTAACAACAGATCCCACCTCCCCTTCTATTCTGCTCCTGCCCTCCCAAACGTTAATTGGACTGTAGCGTTCGGGTTTTATGAACTTATTTATGTTTTTAGTATATATACTTTTTTTCTTCGATGATTGTAAGCCACCCAGAGTTACACTGTGGTGAGATGGGTTTCCAATAAGTTTTATAAGTAAATAAATAAAAATCCCATCCTTGGGTTTCCAGGTCCAGGTCCTCTATTCAGCATGGGATATGTTCAAGCCAAAGAACTTCTTAAATAAAGTGGAGCAGACAGGAAAGCACCAATTGGATCCAGCCAGGATAATTTTTATATTCTCCTGCATTCATTTAATGCTCCTGACCCTCTTTGTTGATTCCTTTTAGATTTTTGTTTTTTTATATATACTTCTGTTTTATATCTTTAAGCTTTTTATAATTATTATTTCTTGGACTCTGATGTATTTTCAATGCCTTTTAATTAACTGTACCCCATCCTCCTTATTTCATTTTTATGTTTATTATTTATTAAATTTAAATTCCACCCTCTCTCCAATAAGGCAACTCTGGGAATCTTACAAGGCTTATATGGCCTTTGATCATAATGAAAATTTGATTTGATTTGATTTGATTTGCCATAAGCAATAATAAATTGCTTGTGTAGAAACACACATCATAAGCTTTGAAATCTAGACAAGTAAAAAGAGGAAGACAAACAGGAGCTGGTTAGATTTTATGAAAACCTTCATTCCTTTATTAATTATGACAGAAACGATAAGGTCAATGACGTTACAGTTATTGATTTGAATTATATTTTATTTGTATTTAAAACTTATTTTAAATCCTAGGTTTTAGCAAAATAGGAATAATATGATTTATTTATTTCTCATGCTTTTGGAACAACTATACTGGTATTTTGTAGGATGAAGAAAGGTAATATATTTGTTTCCTTGATTTATATCATACGTTTCATGCAAGAACTCAAGACAACATATATCATGACCCCCTCTCCCATTTTTCCTCACAACAACCCTGTGAGGTAGGTAGGCTGAGAGAGAACTTCTGCCCCAAAAATACAAGTTAGCAAAAAACAGATAGAAAGAATCTGAATTAGAAAAGGACAGCTTTAAATCCAATTAATTCCCAATTCTTGGCGAACAAATCAAATATAGCCTTTAAAAATTCCTGTGATTTCACCAGTAAATCTTTGGCACTGGAAGATGGATTTTATTGACCACAAAAAAAGCAAGTGCTGTGATTCAGGAAGACAGAAATCTGACAGAACAGGAGTTGATGATTCACTGTGACACTGTTTTTAGACTCTTGTAACCTAGAACTGAAGCTGGCAACCGAATGTTTCACACTTATACATAACAGCCATGGGTTTTCTTAAAAAAAAATTGTTTAAGGACAGAATAAAAGCAAATATATTAATCAACAAAATAGAGCTAACTTTGTAAGGTTGTAGTGTTAGCAATAGCAAAAGCACTTAGACTTATGTACTGCTTCATAGTGCTTTACAGCCCTCTCTAAGCAGTTTACAGAATCAGCATCTTGCCTCCAACATTCTGGGTCCTCATTTTACCAATCTCGGAAGGGTGGAAGGCTGAGTCGACCTTGACTCGAACTGCTGGCAGTCAGCAGAATTAGCCTGCAATACTGCATTCTAACCACTGCACCACCACAAGATACCAATTAAAGGATAATTTTCCCTGTAAATAAAAATAGACATTTCCAGCCAGTTTTTGTAAGGAGAAAACAATGGAGATTTGAGCACCAGACTAGGAATCCATGTGATCTAGTCCTGAGATAGGCACAAAGGCAGCTGGGTGACCTTGGACCTGGTCACTCTCTCTAGAAAGAAAGCAATTGCAAAACACAAAAATGGAGCCAAGAAAACTGTGGAAGCCAACATTCAATTGAGCACACACCGAAACACACAAACACTTACAATACTTTAAGCACACTGAGATCCCTAGCTTTTGCCTTTTAAGAATCAGTTTCTTAAAAGCAACAATACATATCAGTTACTTTTCTGACAGTTGAATTTTATTTCATGGAGCAGAGTGCCTTATAGTGTTATTGACAGATCTGCAGACACCTTTTTATATTGAGAAACAGCTAATATAAAAAGTAAGCTTGGTTGCACTTTGCGATTCTTTTACAGACAAGAGACTAACAGAAAAACTGGTATGCTCTAAATGCTAGAGAAGAGAATAACAGAGTTGGAAGGGACTCTGGAGGTCTTCTAGTCCAACTCCCTGCTTCGGCAGGAAACCCTACACCACTTCAGACAAATGGTTATCCAATCTCTTCTTAAAAACTTCCAGTGCTGGAGCATTTACAACTTCTGGAGGCAAGTTGTTCCACTGATTAATTGTTGTAACTGAACATTGGCCATTAATAGCCATGCTTATTTGTACCCGTGGCTGAGGGTGCTGGCTCCACTAAAACCAATTCCTTACCAGTCTCTTGATGGCTCCATGCATCTCGCTGTTCCTCAGGCTGTATATGAAAGGATTGAGCATAGGGGTGACTACTGTATAGAATATTGATGCCACTCTCAGCCTCGAGACAGAATAGGAAGATGATGGGCGGAGGTAGGTGCCTATCACCGTGCCATAGAACAAAGCTACGGTGGTGAGGTGGGCACTGCAAGTAGAGAAAGCTTTGTACTTTTTGGACTTAGATGGAAGCTTCACCACCTTCAGGACAATGAAGATATAAGAGAAAAGAACGAGAAGCAGAGGCCCAAGGACAATTGCTGTCCCTTCACTGACAAGAAGCTTATCAACAATGGAGGTGTCGGAACAAGAGATTTTCAATAAAGGGTGGAGGTCACAGAAAAAATGGGGGATTTCTCGGGAAGCACAGAAGGTAAAATTAGAGAACAACAGGGTGTATAACAAGGCATGGGAATGAGCTAGTAGCCAAGATCCAGCAACCAAAACAAGGCAGTACTTGAAGCTCATGACTCTGGCATGGTGCAAGGGGCGGCAGATGGCTACATAGCGGTCATACGCCATGGAGGCCAGGAGAAAGTTATCTGTGGTAGCAAAACTCACAAAGAAATACATCTGTGTCAGGCAACCATTATGGGATATTGCTTTTGTCTGGGTCGCTAAGTTGTACAGCAATTTAGGCACTGCAGCAGAACTAAATCCAAGGTCAGCCAGTGACAGGTGACAGAGGAAGAAATACATGGGAGCTTGGAGGAGATTGGTACTGGAGAAGATCAGCAGGATTATCAAGAGGTTTCCTAGCAGACAAAGCAGGTACATACAGAGGAAGATGGGAAAGAGAAAATCTTGGTGGTCTGGTGAGGAGGAGAAACCCAGGAGGATGAATCCAGCAGAGGTGGTTTGATTCTTCTCTTCTGTGTTCATCCCGCAACTCAGGCATTTAGGATCAAGTTCTTCTCTACTTCTCTGCTCTGTATTTCAGATGGATCCAAAAGTACTAAACTAATTTGAGAGGAGGAATTTACACCTGTCAAATATCTTTATTCAAAGTATTTTTTCTTGTAGAAGATATCTACAGTAACTTTTTTCAATTTATGTTTCAGCAACAGAAAAAAGCACCTCCTCTAAATATGGCCAATATCTCTTCTGTTTCACCTTTTGTGAGTGACTGAGAATCGTACTGACATGTTAGGACCAGAGGTGGTATTCAGCAGGTTCTGACCTGTTCTGGAGAACCGGTACCAAAAATGTTGAGTAGTTCGGAGAAATACCACCTCTGACTGGCCTTGTATGTTGTTCCCCTATTAATTAATCTGTCAGAAAATTTCTCCTCAGTTCTAAGTTGCTTCTCTCCTTGATTAGTTTCCACCCATTGCTTCTTGTCCTACCCTCAGGTGCTTTGGAGAATAGTTTGATTTTCTCTTCTTTGTGGCAACCCCTGAGATATTGGAACACTGCTATCATGTCACCCCAGTCCTTCTTTTCATAAGACTAGACATAGCCAGTTCCAGCAACCGTTCTTTATATGTTTTAGCCTCCAGTCCCCTAATCATCTTTGTTGCTTTTCTCTACACTTTTTCTAGAGTCTCAACATCTATTTTACATCATGGTGACCAAAACTGAATGCAGTATTCCAAGTGTGGCCTTACCAAGGCATTATAAAGTGGTATTAACACTTCATGTGATCATTGTTCTGGTCTCATTCAGGTACAACATGCTGAGTGTGAACTGAGTTCAAAGAATGTGAAAACAAAATGTGCAAAATTATATGTTATTTTAGATGTGGACACAAGAAAAAGGGACAAAATGCTTAAAGAGCACTAAGTTAGTATCTTTTGCCCATAAAATATAAATGGATACTCTACCATATCTCTACTGGAACCGGATGTCTCCACTAAAGATGGATCTCTTTGATGGATCTCTTTGATGGGAGTGAAGCAGAAGTGACTTGGCAATGACATAAATAGGGCCCTTATTGTAATGAGATGAAGATAATTCATCTTCATTGAGCTCCCCAAGGAAAGTAAGTACCCATTATGAAGACACTCTTCAGGGAACTTGTTAATCAAAAATAAAATATATAGCAGGAATGCCAAGCAATCTAAAATTGGCTAGATTGGTGGATACCATACATAACTGTGTGTTTTTTTAAATAAACAAGACTTTATTAGGGCAAACAGTATTTCTCTCAATATGTTGGATCTCCAGAAATTTACTTCCCAGTGGCAAACATCACCAGTTGTAATGTACAGTTTTATATTAGGAAATCCCTATCACCAGAATGTTAACATTACGGATCAGAGTAGGACTTGCTTTTTCTCATCTAATAGAGGATTATCAATATATATCACTAGCTTTAAAATAAAAATCTCTTTGAAAGCTTAAATGAATAAATAGCAACAACACCCAGTGGGCAAATCTGCCTAACAGTTTCATCCAGTTGCAAACACTGAAAACGTACCACTGCAGTCCTAATATTGCTTATTTTCCATTCAGCTATTTCAGTTTGCATTTCAGAATAGCTTAATTTGCAGGGTTAAATGTAGCATTTTATTATCTTGCTGTAAAAACTTTGGTTGATAATCCCTGCATTTAAATTATTGTGAGAGGTTCAATTACAATGACCATTTTTTAAAATTGATAGGCATGCACCTACCACCATTAGCCTTTCCCAATTATTTTATACCTGCCATGGAGAAAGTATTTTCCTCTTGCATACTTTAGAATGGACCTCCTTCATAACTTTCTCTTTCAGATGAAGTATTTGCCTGTTGTCAGGTTTCCTACAGTTGCAACAAGTTTCCTTGTCTGCACAAACAATATCCATGAAGCTTCCTATTATCTGTATAACTTTGCACTTGTTTGGCAAAAGTGTGATGATATGTTCATAACATGAGCCATATACTAGATTACTCATTATAAGAACAGTGAAATGTCAATATTTCTCTATTCTTTTTGTGTCTACCAATAGCCATCCAGCTGCCCTGTGTTGCTTGGGGAAGGGTGGGGCACAGGATCATCTGCAGGGCTGCTGTGAAGAATATTCTAGCCACTTGGCTTATAATAAGTCATGCAGATCCACTCAGAGGTGGACTTCAGCTAGGAAGAAGCTCTGGCTAAAATGCCTGGGTAATCTGGGCTAAAATGTCATTGTAATCTGGGATGAGTTTGAATTGGTGACTATTAAGGAAGTGGGCAGGATTCTCCAAGCTGTGTACACCTAGGCCCTCCCAGGTTGTTGAGATCACTCAAGAGGTGTCCTGCAATTGGGTCCATGGTGTGGAGTTGGCCTGTTTCAGGGAGGGAGTCATGTCTTTAGACTTGAAGGAGGAGGCAATGTGCCCCCTCAAGAGGCTCTGCCTGGAACCAACAATTTTTTATAATTTCTGTCATGTCTTCAATTTTCCATTTAAAAAATGGGACCTTCTTCGTTATTGAAAAGATGATCAGATTCCAGTTACAAAGAAGTTTGGAGGAAGCAAATTATTTATATCTGTTCCAGCTAGGGTTCATGGATTTAGTATGGAGTCAGTAATAATTATGCTTGTCAATGATTTTTGATGTCATTGGGAGGAGATGGTACATCCATTGACCTCTCCTTGATTTCTAGCAGCTTTGGATACAATCAATCACAATATCTTTCTGGACTGGCTGTGAGGTTTGGGAAATGGGGGCACCATGTTAGATTGGTTCTTCTCTTTCCTTCATGGCAATTTCCAGTTAGACTTGACAGAGAGTTAGAGGTTACACCCTTAGCCCCTTCTATATGAGGTACCACAAGGCTCAATAATCTCTCCCCTCTTGTTTAACATCTACATAAAACCATAATGTGTCAGTTTGGGGCATGGTATCATTTAATAGATTGTTGATACCTATTTATACATATCAACTCTGCATTGTTCAAGTGATATAGTTGATGTTCTGTCTTAATTGTACCAAGATTGAATGGCTGTAGATATTAAATCCCCCCACCCCCAGATCCTAGAATTCTTTGTCTTTAATTTTTCTTTGGAAAGAGTTTCACTTCCTCATTCAAAACTGGTGTGCAATCTGAATGGACGCACGGCAAGCAAACACTTCTCCATGGAGAATGGAGATGATAACCATGGCAAAGATTGAAGAACTGGCAAATACACTGGTGGTTCTTCCTTCCATCTGGACATGGAGAAGATGGGGGATCACCTATCTGCCTTGGATGGCTGCTCTTCCCATCGGTTTCAGTGTTGGAAAATGAAAGGCTCAATCATCATGTTCATAACCATGGCACTTGGTTGCCTTTTAAAGGCACTTGATTCATTAACCTAATCACTTTCAGAAATTGCTTAATTATCTTAAAAGTATTGAAGATGTTCAAAAAGATGTTTGAAAATCTGCTGATGAGTTTGAAGATAAACCAAAGAAAAGAACTATATATTTATGATTTTTTTTAAAAAAAATGAAAAATAAATAAGATTTTTGATCCAAGAAAGTTATAAATTAATTAAATATCCAGACAAATTTGGAATATTGAAACTTTTACCTCAATATGTTGGAATTAATTATATTAATATATTAATTATATTAATCATAACTGAGATTAGAGACTTTATGATATAAATTAAACACTAGAAGAGACTAAAAATTACAGGCAAAAAGAAGAAGAAAAATCCCTACCTGGAGTTGGGATTAGGGTTGGGATTTACAAAATACCAAGACAATTACCTGAATAATGTCTTTTAATTAGATTTACATCAGGGACTTGAAGAAGTCTTTGCAGTGGGATAAAGAAGAATGGAAGAGGGATTAAATCTTACAATATTTATTTTATTTTATTTTATTTTATTTGTATTCCATCTTTATTGTTTTTACAAATAATTCAAGGCAGTGAATGTATCCAACACACCTTCCTCCTATTATTTTCCCCATAACAACAACCCTGTGAGATGAGTTGGGCTGAGAGAGTGACTGATGAACTTTAGAGATTAAAATTTTCAAAGTAAAAGTAAGGAATATAAAGTTCGTTATTTGGTCAAAGTTAAAATAAGGTAAGTTTTTATGAGATTTTGCAATGTGTATGGACATTACTGAAATGGACAAAGGCTTTCTTTAATTATGCAAAGATCAGTCTCTCCTTTATAATGTCCCCTTATCCTCCATCTTCTTTTAAATTTTGCTTTTTTTAGAGCTATTTCTGGTTTTGTAATTTGCTTTGTTTGTTATATACAGCCCTTTTAGCAGAAAAATAATATGGAGACGGTAATAAAAAATAATTCCAGATCTATGAGCAAGATTTCCAGTTCAGCAAAAGAATGGAGCTGTTCAGGGTCCTGTAGTTGTAGTCTTTTTGTACAATTCCTGAAGTCAGTGATAAATAATATGTGATCACTTCACCTGTTGGTGTCTCTTTCTCTACCCTTCACATGATGTGTCCAAAATGTTCAAGCTTTTGTGATTAATGCTTCCAGTGAGTAGTATTTTACTCCATCTCCATTGAATTATTTAATTATTTTTGAAGTCCAAAGTTTTGCAAAATGCCATCAGGGTTAAGGAACATCAAATATAAAGAGCAAGGCATTTGGGAGGACTACTGCTGAAAAGAGAATTATCCATGTGCATTTCATCCAAACTCTTTCAGGATGGGGGTCAGGAGCATTTGCTCTCAATGTGATCGTGTAAGATGTGTAAATTCTACCTGAAGTAGACAATCCCAGACATACCAGAATAGGTACCTGAATATGTAAATATATTCATTATATTTCCAAATACAACAACAAAATTCCCATTTTTGGAAATGTAACAATCTCTGTTGTGATGGAGAACATGCCAAGGAAGAACTTGACTGTGGATCAATACCTTCGAAATTAATCTCAAGCATGGTGAATAAGAAGACAAACAGTTTGGTATGATGAAGTGTTTTAGAAAATTGTTTTATTTTACTTCCCAATTAGGCTTCATTTTCCAAACTGATCTACCAGAAGAAATGAAGAGAACTATTTCCTATTTGTTATTTTGCACCTATGCCTGTTTATGGTGCTCACTGTTAATATGTGAATTTCTGCTCCTTTGGCAAGATTAAAGATGGCTCCATAAAGCTTTAAACCTTCACAGATCTAACATCAGCACCTTGCAAATGTCTTACTGCATCGTTCTCCAGCTTGGGGCATGTAAAAGTCAGGAGTCAGAAAGCATTTTCACTTTGCAAAAAGTCTGTAGAGATTCTCAATCATCCAGGTCATGGTTGTCTCAAAGGTGCTTTTTCAGGAGGCAACTGGACTTTCTTGTTTTTTCTTTTGAAGACATTTTGTTTCTCATCCAAGAAGATTCTTCAGCTCTGACAGGATAGTGGGGGATGGAAGGATTTGTATTCCTTGCAGACAGCTGGTAATCTGCATCCTTTTAGCGCAGTAGTATTCAAACTTGGCAAGTATAAGACTTATGGACTTCAACTCCCAGAATTCCCCAGCCAGCATGGTTAGCTGAAGAATTCTGGGAGTTGAAGTCCACAAGTCTTAAACTTGCCAAGCTTGGAGACCCCTGTTTTAGCAGGTCATTGAAGCATTTGGAGATTTATCTGTGTCCTCAGGGTCACCTGAGTAGTGCTCCGGGTTCCTGTAGTCTCCATTTTTTTCCTCTGGAAATCCATTCCTACTCCCACACCATTCAAAGGGTGTTCATCCCAAATTGTATAGTTAAAAGTCTGTAGCGATTCTCAGTCATTCAGGTCATTTCCAGAGGAAAAAAATACAGACTACAGGAACCATTAGCACTACTCAGGTGACCCCGAGGACACAAGTGCTTCAAAGATGCTCTAACACAGTGGTTCTCAACCTGTGGGTCGCGACCCCTTGGGGGTCAAAAGACCGTTTCACAGGGGTCGCCTAAGGCCATCGGAAAACACATATTTTCAATGGTTTTGGGAATAATTTTATGGTTGGGGGTCACCACAACATGAGGAACTGTATTAAAGGGTCGTGGCATTAGGAAGGTTGAGAACCACTGCTCTAAAAGGATGCAAATTACCAGCTGTCTGACTAGAAGACCTCCAAGGTCCCTTCCAACTCTATTCTATTCTAAGGAATATAAATCCTTCCATTCCCCACTATCCTGTCAGAGCTGAAGAAGCTTCTTGGATGAGAAGCGAAATGTCTTCAAAAGGAAAAACAAGAAAGTCCAGTTGCCTCCTGAAATTCCACTTTGCAAGGTAAGAATTTTCACAGCAAATGCAAACAGAAAAACTGGCAACTGCAGAGAGAAGGTGCAAAGCCACCCTCTTCACATTGTAAGCAGGCAAGTGAACGAGGAGCCAAGGCATCTCAAGTCCAGGGGGAAGAAAAAACAACGAAGTAGATACAAGCCACTTCAAAAGTATTGCAAAGCTCCACTATTTCTGATTTAACTAATGTTGTGGCTGAGCTAAAAATAAATTGGCTAAGCTGCCCAGCATAGATATTAGTGTGGGAACAGCACCAAAGATCCAGGTGGAAATATGGCAAATTTACTAATATGGCAAATATGTGCTTTTAAAAGAAAAATACACTCTTAATCAAATCTTATTTTAAATATAACTCAAACCTTCTTTCCAGGGCTTCAAAATATAATGGTAGCTTATTTCTACCCTCATGATTAATCCATTTAAATCTAAAATGGCAATGATGGGGAAATGCATAGAAGTAAAAACCACTTAAAGTAACCCAGACTGTACATAAATTATATTAAGGCCATGCAGCTGAACTTTTCGCATTTCAACATTCTCATTTTATAATGCCACACATCTTTGGGAGATATTAAGAGATTATGACCATCCTGCTATAACTTTATGCATATGACATAGTAAATAGTGTGGAATGTTATGGAGGTTAAAGAACATCATATGTCATTTTACCGGCAGCCATTGTTTTCCAAAGGGGCTCCAGGTTTCTTATGAGGCACTCCTAGTTCTGATCTGATTTCTCTCTTCTGCACCCAGATCTTTAGTAATTTCCTCATGGCCTCATGAATCGCACTGTTCCTCAGGCTGTATATGAAAGGATTGAGCATGGGGATCACCACAGTGTAGAATATCGAAGCCGCTCTCAACCTAGGACCAGAATAAGTGGAGGACGGGCGGATGTAGGTGCTAATCAGAGTCCCATAGAACAAGGTAACAGTAGTGATGTGTGCACTGCAAGTGGAGAAGGCTTTGTACTTCCCAGAAGCTGAAGGAACTTTCAACACCTTCAACATAATCAATATGTAGGAGAGAAAGATGAGTATAAGGGGCCCAAGCATGGTTGCAGTCCCTTCAATCATGAGCAATATTTCAGCAGAAGAGGTGTCTGAGCAGGAAAGTTTGAGTAAAGGATGGAGGTCACAGAAGAAATGAGGGATCTCCCGGGAGCCACAGAAAGAAAAATTAGCTATTGTAAATACATATAATAGGCCTTGGGAAAAAGAGAGGAGCCAAGACCCAGCAGCCAAGATCAGGCAATGCTTGTGGCTCATGATGGTAGAATAATGAAGTGGTCGGCAGATAGCCACATAGCGGTCATATGCCATGACGGCAAGGAGAAAGTTATCACTGGTACAAAAGACCACAAAGAAATACATTTGACTGAGGCATCCACTATAGGATATGGTATTTTTCTGGGAGATTAAGATTTGCAACATCTTGGGTACAGCATTGGAACTGAATCCCAGGTCAGCCAATGATAGATGACTGAGGAAGAAATACATGGGGGCATGAAAAAGATCACTATTGAAGAAGATCAGCAGCATGATCAAGAGGTTCCCCAGTAAGCTAAGCAGGTACATGCAGAGGAAGAAGGGGAAGAGAAGTCCCCTGAACTCTGGTGAGGTGGAGAAACCCAGGAGAATGAATCCCGCAAAGTTGGTGTTGTTCTCCTGTTCTGTTTCCATGGCTCATCTGAAAATGGGAATAAGTGGGATTATATCATTGCTCCTTCAGTTTCATGAATGTAATACTGAATAATCTCACGGGCTAACATCCCTCACTGGATATTGCTGGAAATGACACTGACTGTTCAGCACCTTACAACCTGCTGATTCCAAGGGGCAGTAAATTAACAATTTACTCTATGTTCCTTTTTTGTGTATCACTGTTGGCTTTTTGTCTACGAGACTGTAATCTCAGATTACATCCTCCTGTTTTTTCTTTCAGGCATGCATGTACAGAGCATTTGCTCTCTGACTCTCCACCTGATATGGTACAGTTAGATACTGTGTTTTGCCTACCCTTATCACTGACTTCCTTAGATCTCAGTTACATCACTAAAACCATCACTCAGGTTAGATTCCTGCTGGTCCTGCACAAATACTGGTGCCCTACTTCAGGTTCTGTAATACTTCTATTTAGAACAGTGAGCTAATGTCCTTTTAATTCAGTCTTTCCATAGGTATCATGTAACTCAGTCTGAGCTAGGATGATCCTGCTGGAATGACTGGAGATGAAAAAAAAATTAGTAGAACATATATGGAGACAGGCTAGGCATTGAATTTGAAACCTATCGCATATCTATGAGATGACCTTTTATAGATCTCAATGAATGCATGATATGAAATGGAAGAAGTTGTACATCATTAGGTTCTGTAAGAAAGACAACTCTGGTTTGCATAGTGACTTTAAAGGAGAACAAGTGCAAATTGGAATCAGGTAGATAACAGAGTAGTCAATCCACTGAAATAAACTATATTCCATCAATGGGTTACTAAAATCAAAATTCATAATTGGAGCTCAATATATGAAGTTAAATATTTCAGTCTTGGTGAAATGCTTCAAATTTACAAATGACCTCTATTTCACCATATGTCTGATTGATCTAACTCCATATAATATTCTTCACACTTTTAAATGGGGCATTTTCATTTTCTCAGAAAATCAGGTGCAGATTTTGCCCCAATCAGGATGGTGTTTCTGTTCCATAGCAGAGGGGATCGCCAAGTTTCCTCCTTACAATTGCTATAAAATGTTTTTCCTACCTGTTTCAAACCTCATCTTTATAGATACAGTAAGGTGTGGATTTTAAGAAAATCAACATGAAGTTTCTATCTAGATAAGGAGCATATTCCAAATGTAAATAGCTATTTTTTTTCCAGAAAAATAAAAGCTCACATTTAATACTATAGTATGTGCAGAGATTTGACAGAGATACAATGCCAAATTAACTCCGTATGATACCCAGATAATAGAGAAGGGGCTTGAGCATCCTGAGAAGGACAAACATTAAGGCATTTATTGGGCAGGGGGGAGAAGAACTTGGGATTGTAAACTTCACAGGCAACTTTGACTAAAGATAACACTCACTGGATCTCAGTTCATGAAAATTAATCATTGGTTTCTGAAATATAATATCTGGTTGGGAATTTTGTTCATTTGCTGCAAAGCTTTCATTTTGTATCATTAAACAGTCGACCTCAACACATCTGAGAAAATTACTTGAAAGATTTAGTCTCACTTTGTTGAATCTCAGCAGTCTGACAAAGCCAAGCCTGGATGGCTTGCTGGATGGCCAAATGAAGTGCAGAAAAAGCAAAATCGTTAGTGCTCTTCCAGATGGAGGCAAAACATCAAGAGATGGTAGAAATAGTCAGCGAAGTGGATTTTGGTTTCAATCTGAAGTAGCTGGTCAAACAAATGAGAATTTCTTGCTATCTGTAAAAGGAAATGGACAAGAGAGAGAAAAAAGCATGCTAGGTCAGAAGATCTAAGGCTGGGGAATCATCTTTCTTAGCACTGAAAGTCATGCAAAATAGTCATAAAGACCTCGCCAACCATGGAGGCGTTCAGTGGATAGGAACATCTTGCACAACTGGACCTCGGTTTCATACATTGCCCAGAAAAGAAAACAGAAGAAAATATAAAGGTGGTAGGAAACTGGGTGAGAATGTCAGTGGTATGAGTTTTGGTTTCCATGGAAGAAAACAGCAAGATCTGCAGGGATCTTGTTAAAGAAACATCTACAGAGTTGTTGAGGTTCTGTATTGTGAAATCCCCAGACTCACTGTGCAACCGTTAGTTGAATTCCCAACCTATGTCTTAGCGGATGAAAGCATATATTGTACTATAGCTGGGATAGGAGGGTAACCCTGAAGTGGAAATGGGAGAATACAATAGAGACATTATTTCAGGGAAGGCTTCACCAACGTCAAATATCAATCAGCAGAAATTTCCAGGCACATATGACCAGTAAGTAAATGGTTGGTAGAGGTCAGCCTACCAATTTTGAAGGGTACCAGATGGAAGAGGTTAGTCTAATTAGACATAGGCATGACATAGGCTCATCCTTTAGACAATGCTGTCAGTCATTTGGTGAGACTAGCCATTTGGGACAGTGAGGACTTGGTTAATTAGTAGATTAGGCTTTTTTAAAAGGTGGTTTCCACTTCCTCTGCTCAATCTTTCTCTTCCATTTCTTGAATGATCCAAGGAAATTTCATGCCTACGGTTCTGCAAGGGCTTCATTTCCACCAGGAGCCATCCATGTACACCAGAAATGCAATTTCAGCTGTTGGAATATCTAATTCTGGAGTATAAATCAGTGCCATGCTCATATAAAGGAGGACTGGAAAAGGAGTAGAGTGGTAACTGCTACTATTCTCCCAACAGAACACACCTTTTCTCCCAGCATTCCTTAAATAGGTTATGAGACCAGAATCCTGATCATATCTCTATGCATCTGAGCAGAAATATCACCTTTATTCATTTGCATGTAAGAATATGGCATGCTCTCCAGGGGTGGGTTTCAAAACCCATTGCTACCATTTTGCTCGTGGGTGCCCACGCATTCATGTGTGCACGCAACGCAGGCGGGTGGGCAGAGCCTCCCGCCACCGCCGTTACCGGTTCACCCGATACGGGGTAGCAACCCACCACTGATGCTCTCTCCCCTTAAAACCCGGGTAGATATTTTATTTGTTCATTATTTGTTATGTGCATAGATTTTTTTAATTTATTCTTCAGTGCTATCATTCCCTGATTCTCAGGGTAATTTACACAATATCAAACAGAATATTTACATAAATATTTACCAATTAGGAAGATGACTCTGAATATAAGAGCATGGTTCCCCAAAAGAGAAACGATTAGACAGAAAAAGAAAAACCATCTGCCACCATTACCCTCTTCTCAGCATATCTAAGATGACCTTCCCCTATTAATAATGAATTATTAAAGATCTAGCCATCTTTACAGGTCAATATCATTAAAATATTTCAAAAGCAAATTGTCCCACATGATACATTTATTTATTTATTTATTTATTTATTTATTTATTTATTTATTTATTATATTTCTATACCGCCTTTCTCCCGTAGGACTCAAGGCGGTGTACAGTCAAGAAAAATATAGATACACAAACATCATAAAATTGCTAATTAAAATTATTATTTAGTTTGGGCAATTAAATAAAACCCAGAATTAGATAACATTTTAAAAAATCATTCACATGTTCATATGTTTAGCATGCCAGGAGGACAGGACTGTGCATTAAAATTAGCCTTTGGGGTCCTTTTAATTTGCTACAGTGGTTTATTATGAAGTAACATAGATGGAACTTATTGAATTTCAAACCTGTGATGGGGGAGAAGAGGCTATGTGGACATTCCCACTCATTCCGACAATTAGGAGGTAATCACAGCATGGATAACCAAGTCAGACTTTTTTATATCTTTTGTTATTAGGAAAGAAGGTAGATATATAGCAACTTTGAGGTTTAAATAAATTAAGCAACATAATATTGAATCTATTTCTGACATACACATAATCCTCAACTTACAACAGTTCATTTAGTGACCATTCAGAGTTACACAGCACTGAAAAAGTGACTTATGACCCGTTTTCACATTTACAATTGCTGTAGCATCTCCATGGTCACATGCTCAAAATTCAGATGCTTGGCAATTGACTCATATTTATGATGGTTTCAGTGTCCCAGGGTCACATGATCACCTTCTGTGACCTTCTGAGAAGCAAAGTCAACGGGGGAAGCCAGATTCACTTAACAACCATGTTACTAATTGAACAACTGGAATCAACTGCCCCCAGAGATACGAAGAATTCAAGACCTCGGTGCCTTCCGCTGTGCCCTGAAGACCTATCTTTTTCAGCAAGCCGGACTGGCTTAACACATTTTTAAATGTTTTTAATAGGTTTGTTTTGTTCTTTTAATTCTGGGGCCAAACGCATATATATATTTTTAACTGTATTTTAATGTTTGTATCTATGTTTTTTACTTTGGGTGTGCACCGCCCTGAGTCCTTCGGGAGAAGGGCGGTATATAAATCTGATAATAAATAAATAAATAAATAAATAAATAAATAAATAAATAAATAAATAAATAAATAAATAAAATTGCCGTGATTCACTTAACAACTGTGGCAAGAAAGATCGAAAAACTCATTTTACAAGTGTCTCAGTTGAGGACTTCCTGTATATGAGAAAAACATAAATAGCTTCTATACCAATTAATCAACAGGATTTTTTTTTTTCACCTACAGCTGATGATACAGATCTGTTTGCATATCATGTAAGACTCCATAGCTGTCACAAGACCCAACTATTTCATTCTACCTGCCTGGATTTCATAAACTGTGACTAGTCTGAATTCTATGAATTGGAGAAGCTCCTGCCCTCTGCTAGAAAAAAAGGCCAAAGCAACTCTAGAGCTGAAATGGGGTTCTGCCCCCAAGAATCTCTGGGCCTCTACAATTGCCTGCATAATTGTGTATTGCTCGTATTGGCTTTTTCTACAATTCTAATAGATAAATTAATAGGGAAAAAAGAGAATACATGAATCATGGGATCGTGAATTTAATTTAATTTAATTTAATTTAATTTAATTTATCACATTTCTATGCTGCCCAACTCCCAAGGGTCTCTGGGCGGCTTACAACAAAAGTAA